TCTTATACACATCTATTTTTTCGATTTTATTCTTTTTTTTTTAATTTCATAAATTTTGTTTTAAATGTTTTCTTGTTGATTTTTTACTATGATATCTCGTAAACGCTTTATTTAATCGAAAAATTATAACATACCATTTTGTAGTTCCTTATGTTCCTGTGCGCATTGGGAACGGCGAATACCGCAGTCGATGTATCGATGGGCTGTACGAGATATACGACTACATTGACATAGTTCAGCGAATTAAGGACAGCGGCTATGAAACAAGTTGGAAGCGAGATTTAAATAATAAGAAAAAAGAAACTGTAAGGCGGAGGAMTTTCCCGTTACAATTAATGGTCTGGTATTAAAATTGAATAAAATCSATTCGAAAATAAGGATTCTCCATCGAAATGCATGATATCGGTCTCTATCTTTTCTGCAAAAGTCTATTGAATCTACTTTTTATGTTAGCAAGGTTGACTTTCATGTTAATATTTCGTATAACCGATATCAGTAAATCTTTCTTTTATAAAMAATTTTAGTTTGAAATTTTGGTCAAAAATGGAGCTTTTTAAAAACCTGTCATTTGTCAAAAAATATTTATTCTACATATTTCTTAGATTAATTACTGGATCTAAATTACTTTAACGAAATCTGTTTGGTTTTTTAATTTTAGAAGATCCAGTTCAGAGATGTAGTGATCACCGCAAAACGTCGTTTTTGAGAGAGGCTGCCTCAGATCAGCTGTAGCTCCTTTCCAAAGATATATTTTTAGTAACCAAAAATTTGTACATATGTGTACAAATTTTTGGATCAATAAATTTATAAGTATGTATTCTCCGAAAAAAATCTGGAAAATTCGCATTTTTCCCGCCTTCTAACTGTATATAACCCCTTAATGAATCGCAGATGTTAATTCGGTCCATTAAATTTTTCAAAGACAGTCATGTGGTACCCTAACATCGAGCTTCACTTTTTAGCCAGCCTTTTTTAAATGGTTCAAAACCGTTTGATGATGAATATTAAGTTCCTTAGTGATGTCATGGCTACTTATGTGACGGTCCTGGTCAATATTTTCCATAATTTCATCGACTTTTTCAAMGATAGATTGCCGAGAGCATCTTTCGAAATTTCCAGAACGGAAGCAAGAGCACATTGCTGTGCTGCACGAACTGGTACACCATCGTCAACGTAAACTTCACAAATTGATACTTTTTCGACTACCCAATATGTATTATATACAATGATTTTCGTTTTAAGTAGTATACATATGTAAATGTCTTGAACATTAACAAATTAGTAAAAAAGGCAAGTCACCTATAATATGTACATGTATGAAATTAAGATACCAATTATTATTGTAAGCCATTCACAAATAATGACACCTGAAAAATTTTCCCGGCTCTGTTCACTGCAAATTACGAAAAACAGTCAGTTGGTCTCGAATTTAGCCCTTCCTTATGTGTTTTTATAATTTTGGTCTTACTCTCTTATTTACCATAAACTTTTTCTCACTACATACATATGTAAGGTTTGAACTTGATTGTCAGTATTTCGTGGACTTACCTAAGATCAGCGGTAACCACCTTTGAAATGAAAAGTCTTTATTACTTCGTTTGGTCAGAGAGATGTACAAATTTACATTTATTTGATTTCATCAAGTTTTATTCTAATGCAGTTGTGTACCTTCTTAATCCATCAACTAATCACATCTTTTACAATGTACTGTTAATTGTCGAGTTAGATAATACAATATTATGAACAAAAATTTTTGGGTTATCTAGTATGCCAATTTAGCAAAACACTGAAATTTGAACAGCTCGGCGAGCTCTCTGTTTTTTTTTAGTAAAATTACACATTTATGACTTATGTTGCCAATTCGATATCAAGTGTGTACACTATATACATATATATGGATAATAATGTTTGCAGAAGTATTCTTGGCATATTTTTGTATATTTTCTTTGATTTTCCGATTTTTCATATTGAATGATTTGGTGGCGAGTCAAACCATTCTCTATGTGTGCGTACTTCTTCCGTTTGGAAGTACGTCGTGTGATTTTCTTTCAAATCAGTGATTTTTTGTCATAATCGTGTCGTAAAGCCAGTACGAATTTGCCGGTAGTCGGTTCGAGTTATAATAACATATAAATACATACATATTTTATATGTATA